GAGGAGATTTCCCTGGCTCAGTTGCCAGAGGAGCGTGAGGCTGGCTCGGAACACCTCTGGGTGAGGTGTGTCCTGGCGCAGACCATAGTTCCACATGGCATTCAGCCACAAGGAAGGGGCTCGTGGGCCCGCTGCCTTGGGCGGCCGCTGCTGCTGGCCGAGGGTGCCGAGGGCAGGCAATTAGATTGGCTCCATGTCTGTCCCCACATCAGGGCCCAAGAGTCTGATGGTGCGGGTGGCAGGAGTGGGGATGATGGGCGAGTTGGTGACAGGTGCAAAGAGCTTTGTTCTAAAAGGCAGAAGAAAATTAACTTGCTATCCACAGAGGACCCTGGATCAACCAAGCCACCCACTGTCCTGGGCTTTGTTTCCGGTGTTGGGACAGGGAGGATGCGGATGTTGAAACTGTCCCTGGTGGGCCTGGTGCTCACAGAGGTGGCTGTCTCTCCAGGCTTTAGAGGAAGTTGACGGTGAGGTGTGCTGGGGAACATGGGGGTGTGAGAATGGGCGGGCCCGTGTGCTCCAGGCGTGTGAATGCGCTTACGTGGGTGTATCCTATACAAAAACACGCTCATTGACTGAACGTCCGCAGAGGGCTGAGCACAAGGACAGGTGGTAAGAGGGAGACAGAGACAGAAGTGAGCTCTTCCCTCGAGGAATTTACAGTCCCGTGATGGAAGTGGGGCCCATACGAATAAAAACGATTGAGCAACCCAAGAGATCAAAGCAGGTGACTAAAGAAGTGCAACAGAATGTTACGTGAGTGTCTCAGAGGAGCAGGAGAGGGCGGGTGGGGTCAGCTGAGGGGAGACAGGCCGAGGTCATGCCAACTCCAGACCTGGGGAGGTGAACTGTGCCTTTGCAGCACACGTCAGTGACACTGGGCTGCTCTGTCAGGGGCACCCGTTTGGGCTCCGTGAGCTTAAGCGCTGTCCTCTATTGGGAATGTGGTCGAGCCTGAGCCATGTGAATGTCCCTCCTCTCTCTGTGCTACCCTGGGTGACACACACATCCATGTGGCCCACGGCTCCTGCAACGGTGCCTCGAACGTGCCCGCGGCTCCTGGCATTGCTGGGATGAACATGGAGGTCTTTTCGGATCAAGCAAAGCATGGTGGGGGGAATGGCGGGCACAGGGAGGAGCTGTGGACAGGCAGGGGAGGGAGGTGGGGAGGATCAGGTGATCTTGCTTCATAAACCAGAAGCAAGATCACTCCGAATCCCCTTCTAGGGCTCTTGCTGTGGTGCTAGCAGCCCCGTCTCTGATCGAAGGCCTCCTCTGAGCAGCGTGTGTGTGTGTGTGTGTGTGTGTGGGGGGGGGGGGGGGTGAGGGTGTGGAGGGGGGCGTTGGGTGAGTCAGGCCTGACCCCTGCTCCCTGCATCTGTCTAGCAGAACTTGGACAAGGTGAGAGTGTGGTAAGCTGGGAGCAAATCTGCCCAGGGTCACTCAGTGGTGACCCACTAGCCCAACCCCTTATGCTGATGATGTAGAAACTGAGTCTCAGGGATGTGAGGTGGCTTGTTCAAGATCACACGGGAGTGTGGGTGTCAACATCCCCATTTATTGGCCCCATGTGTGTTGTCTTGGAGTCACAGAACAAAGAGGAATCCTGGAGAGGGTTTCAGCCTTTGGATCTGAGTAATACCCCCCCCCCCCCCCCCGCCCCCATACAAGTTTAACTAGAGCCGTGGTCGGCAAACTGCGGCTCGCGAGCCACATGTGGCTATTTGGCCCCTTGAGTGTGGCTCTTCCACAAAATACCACGGCCTGGGCGAGTCCATTTTGAAGAAGTGGCGTTAGAAGAGGTTTAAGTTTAAAACATTTGGCTCTCAAAAGAAATTTTAAATCGTTGTACTGTTGATATTTGGCTCTGTTGACGAATGAGTTTGCCGACCACTGGCCTAGCATCATCTCACATGCCCTTCTCATCCTAAACCTGCTATTCATACCTAAATCCCAGGGAGGAAGCCACCCAACAGGACTGGGCCAAGTTCACCTGGCTCCTGTGGGCGGACCTTTCCCCTCCAGTCTGAGAAGCTGTTCCTGCCTGCTCCTCCAGGGGCCTCAGCGGCTGGTTCTACCACTCACACCCCAGGACACACGGCTCCCTCCGCAGATACCTTCCCAGGGAAAGAAAACCAGAGCAAGGGGAGCCCCAGGGCCCGTGCCCATTGGCAGGGCTTCATGTCCTGGCCTCTCAAGGGCTGGTCCCGCCTGTGCAGGTGCTTCGGAGAGTGCCAGGCCCTGAGGAGTCCCCACGTCGCGCAAGGGCTGCTCCTGCCAGTGGAGCAGGTCCAACGACCCCAGGCCCCTCTTTGCAATCACACATCTCCGTGGCCCTGGAGCCCCCCCGCTCTCTTCCTCTGGCCGGTTGTACCCACTCCGGGATTCAAACCTCCTTCTTTCCCAGGGCCCAGCCCAGGCCCTCCCTGGTCCTCAGGGCCTCAAGGCCACATAGATTTGTAGATCATCTAGATCCAGATGAGGAAACTGAGGCTCACAGAGAGGTTAGCTGACTTGCTCAAAAGTCAAATCACCCGTTAGAGACTGAGATCGAGATCTCCTCCCCTGCAGCGAGGTCCTTCGGCCCCCTTCCTGGCTGAAGAGGGCATGTGTCCGGCAGGGAAGGGGGTCCCAGGAAGGGCCAATCCCTAAGTCTACACACCAACCGCCAGGCACACACAATTAACGGCTTAATTACAGGCTGCCCTGCATTGTGAGGTATTTCCAACGTTGGCTGTCAGGCTTTTGAGGGCAGGGGCCGTTCTCAGTGCCATCTTGTGTTCTCTGGGCCCTTGGCACAACGCGGGGCCCGTGGACGGCACCACACGGCGGGGCTTTATTTGGGAGGATGATCTCCCGCCTCCGTATCTGGCGGCAAACGAGGCAGCAGGGAAGCCAGCGGTGCTCTGTCCCAATGTGAGCCCGGCTCTGAGCGCTCATGTAGAGGAAAGGTGGGCGGTGGCAAGGGGCACCAGAAACCCTGGCTCTGGCAAAGACCCAAAGGGACTAATACTGCGTCTCAGGCCTGGTAGGCTTCCAGCATCCCTGCCTGCTTCCTTTCAGAGGAAGGGCCCATGGGCTGCTGTGTTCTTTCTTTCTTTCTCTTCTTTCTTTCTTTCTTTCTTTCTTTCTTTCTTTCTTTCTTTCTTTCTTTCTTTCTTTCTTTCTTAAAACATATTTTATTGATTTTTTAACAGATAGGAAGGGAGAGAGATAAAGTTAGAAACATCGATCAGCTGCCTCCTGCACACTCCCCACTGTGGATGTCCTTGCAATAGAGGTACATGCCCTTGACTGGAATCGAACCTGGGACCCTTCAGTCCGCAGGTTGATGCTCTATCCACTGAGCCAAACCGGTTAGGGCTTGTGGTGTTTTCTGGAGAGTGGGCTGGGCTCAAACCTCAGGACCCACCGTGGCAGGGGCAGGGGAGAGGGTTGGGCACACACCCTTCCTCCCTTGCCCTCTTCACGGCTCCTCCTGGCATCGCCTAATGCTCTCTCCTGCCCCCTCTGTCCGGCCCGCAGAAAGCACGTGGTCCAAGGGAGGCCCCTTCAGGGGACAGTCTGAGCCTTGTCCGGCCCAGGGCACTGCCCTGGGGCCCTGAGGGCTAACACAGGACCCACAGGCCCTGCCTTCCTTCAGGGGACTCCCTTGTGTGAGGGAGCAAGGCGGGCTCAGGTGCTAGTTCCCAGCCCCAGAAACCAGGAGGAAGGGGCTTCGTGACGGCTCAGGTGAGGCAGGGGTCCAGGGACAGGGAGAAATGGAGCTTGGCCCGGGGAAGACGCGTTTCTTTCTTTGTAGCCAAACTTCAAAGTGTGCCTTTGGGAAAGCTCTCGAAACAGATGTACAGATTGGCGAGGAGCTGAGGGCACCCGAGGAGGGTTCACCGGTGCAAAGGTTGCACCGGTGCGGCTCCCAGGGCGGCTGGGGCCTCCGGTGATTGGCGGCCTCGGCTCAGCGCATCTCAGCGCAGGGCTCCACCGCTCATCCAGGGCCTCTCTGGGCTCGGTCTCTGGGCCCCGGGCGGCAGGTTTGTTACAGTGTCGTCGCCGGCTTCCCAGTGGGTGGAGGTTGCTCAGGGTCACTGGGTGAGAGGAAATGGCTGACGACGCCCACTCACCCTCCTGCCAGCCTGGGGGATGTGCTCTCTGTACTCTCAGCCTGGCACTTGTGTGTTCACATTAGCTGCCCTTCCCTAAGATGGGGGCGGTGGTAGACGAACAGGAATTGTCTCGAGTCCCATTCTCCTGAGGAGAAATGGAAGGCCAGGAGAGGGGCTGTGGCTCCCACAGGGTCCGCTGGATCTCCTGGGGCACTGGAGTGGCCAGGTGGCCATGGCTCTCCCTGCCCTCTGCTTTGGAGGAGGAGCGAGGCCGGGCAGGCTGGGTTAGCCATTAGGAAGCTACGGGGTGGGTGGGTGGGGTAGTTCTCTCCAGAATGCCAGGAGGGCTGCTCGGAAAGCTGGTGGAGGGGCCATGGCTGGGGAAGCCTCTGCCCCACCACTGAGATGGCACCAGGCAGACAGAGCAATTAAAAGCCAATGAAGACAGACCGGCAGGATGGCATTCCAGGGCCCTCTTGCCCAGATCAGACTCAATTACAGGGTACAATTACCTGCGAAGTGTTGTGGGGTAGCTGCCTGCACATGCCATTCAAGGCTGCGGGGGAGATGCTTCTCTCCCGGGCTCCAGTTACTCCCCTTGAGATCCTACCTAATAGATTCCCCTTACCTGCCTCCCCCCACCCCCCCACCCACCCCCATCCAGCTAACGCCACCATCTTGGTCTATGGGACTTATTTCTGTGGAGAGACTACGTCTGACACCAGCGTTTCCTTTAGGTTCACTGATTCCAGTTCACTCCCAAGGAACACCACCCTTCGGCCTTAGCCTTCAAGGTTCATGCCTAGAGAGGTCAAGGTGCTGACTTCCCCATCAACGGAGTATCTGGTCCATCCCAGAATTCACGCTGGCTTTGAAGGGTGGAGGAAGCCTTACCTCGCGCTGCGCTTTCTTGCGGAAGGAGAGAGATGGCCTTGCCGTCCTGGAGAAAGACGCTGAACTGGTAGCGATGGAAGCCAGTTTGGGGAGGTGGGGTCGGAGGCTCGTAGGCTGTGGGCAGAGAAGGGAGAGAGGGTGGGTCCCACAGGACCCAGGAGCTCCTGGGTGCTCTGGGCCCGAGGAAAAGAGAATCATTTGTGCCTTTCCTGGTCCCAGCTGACCCTCCTGGGGTCCCAGGTGGGGGCTTACCCATTGCGCACCATTAGGCTTGTCTTTGTCAGGATCTCATCCTCAGAAGCTTCATTTAAGAAGCACATTTTGGGGGATGTGGGGGCGGGGAGGGGGAAGAGGTGTGGTAGTTTGAAGATTTTGGGTGCTGGTGGGCACCTGGGCCTTTCTGGGCCAGTGGCTGTCATCTTTTTTTTTTTTTGCTTTAGTCTATCCTGATAGATTTCCTGCCTCCAAAGAAACCCATCTTCCTCTGAGTACACTTGGCAGTGGATTTTTATTTATTTTTGCAGCATTTCCTTATGAACTCAATCCCCAAAGAAGTCAATTTCTTGGCTGGATCCGGAGGATCTGGAAGTGGTTACGGGGGTGGGTGGGACTCAGTTCAAAGGTTTGATCATGGAAGCCGTAGGCCCCAAGGCAATGGGAACCAACTCAGGCTCTTCCGGGGGAGAAGGCCAGCGCCCTCGCTTTCGTCCCCTGCACGGGAGGCAGATCTTTCCCGGGAGGACAGCAGAGGGAGGGGGCATCTTTTATCCTTCCCCCAAGACTGTTCAGGCTCCAGCAGGGCCTCCTCCCAAACATGCTGAGCCTCTGCCTCTTCCCCTCGCTCTCTTCCTCTCCCTCTCCTGGGAGCCGAGAACTTCCCTGGGGGTGGGTGTTAGCAATGAAGATGCTGGTGGGAGGGAGTGTGGGTATGTTATGGCCACCTCCCTCTCCTGAGCATTAGACAAGGGCCGCTTGCTGCGTGGAGCTGTTGGAGTGTTCCTCGCGATGCACTTCCGGCCAGGGCCTCCAGCTTGCCCGCAGCCAGGGGATTTCCTGACTATTCATCTCTCCCTGCGTTTTTGGATTGCATCAGATATATGTGTGTGTGTGTGTGTGTGTGTGTGTGTGTGTGTGTTCAGAGTGAGAACGGCACAGGGTGTTCCAGGAGCCATGAGGGTTTGTATACGCGGGGCAGGGGCAGGGGCAGGGGCAGGTGTTGGAGTAGCCAGTGAGCACGTGTGCTGAGGCTGTTTTGAAGGGTGTCTGCCAGTGTCGGTGCAAATGTGAGCAAGTCAGTTTTTTGTTTTTTGTTTTTTCCCCCCACACACATGGCCAGTGCTGAGAGACTTCTGAGCATGGGTGAGGGCTGCAATGTGTCTTTGCCTGCGTGGTGTGTGGAGGGTGGAGGTGGCCGGGCTGGCTTTTGGCGAGGAAGGTGGGTGTGAGGGTGGCCGAGTGAACCTGAGGGTGGGTATACCCCATGCTGCCAGAGACTGGTGGCCATGATTCCCAGTGGGTAAGGCGGGAGTTGTCACTTGCTGGTTCTATGCAGCTGGGAGTTAGCCTCAGGGGAGATGGAGCCGGAATCTCTTCACTAGGGAGCTTTCCTGAAGATCTCCCTCGGAAAGGAGAGGCGAAAGCAGAGGCGAAAGCAGAGATGAGAGCCATGACGGGGAAGGGAGGGCACACAGGTTCGGCCACTTCTCAGGGCCAGGCCCTGGCCAAGTGCCTCCCTTGTAACATCTCTTTAACCCTCCCTACACCCTGGTCGGGTGGGTGTCTTTGCCACGTTCTGGGTGAGGTAACCGAGGCGCTGAGAAGTGAAGCCCGGCCGACAGTGAGGGGTGGGGCTGGGGCTGGAATCTAGGCCTTCCTGGTGCCTGAACCGAGTTGGTTTCCAAAACCATGTGGCTCTGTTGGTCGTTTTGCTAAGCCCTTTGCCAGAGGCCAGCTTACCCCTGGGCATTCCCTGTAAGTCAGTGGAGGGCCTGCTCTTGCAGCCGGGATCTGAGAGGGAGGGGGACCTGGCGGGGAGGATGGGGTGAGAAGAGGAGGGCCTCAGAGAAGAGGGAAGTCCACGCAGCCACGTGCAACCATGTCAGTGGGGCCGGGAGCAGGAAAGAGGAGAGGCAGGCGGAGGGAAGAGCCGTCTGGGTGTTCTCCCGGAGGCCCCCGCATTGATACTGGCTCCTCACGCCAGCTGTGGGACACGGGGCAGGTGGGTCTGTGCCTCAGTGTCACTCTCTTTAAAATGGAGATATGGATGGCAGCGACTTGAAAAGGAAATTGTGAAGATTAAATCAGAGCGTACACACAAACGCTTGGATCAGTGCTTTCTTTGTACCCTGTGAAGCATCAACACAGAGTTGTACTGTTATCTGGCCATCATCATTGCCCTGGCTGCTGGGGTTGGGGGGAGAGGGGAGGTGGTAGGGTCTTACTCACTTGTTAACTCCTGGCCCTTTACCGTTCCTTTCTTCAAGTCAGCGCCCTGAAACAAGAGACAGGCACGGGTGTGGGTTACTCCTGGGGCAGCAGGAGGCCATGCCATCACCCTCAGTCCCAGTGGGCTCTGCTGAGCTTTCTCTCAGGGGTGGGGGTGGGCTGGGGGTGGGATGGAGGAGGATGAAGGTCCATGGCTGTTTCGGGGAGACGTTGCCAGAATGAGCCGTGGGATTTAGAATGGTGCCTCTGGGGAACTGGGAAGAGGGGGCAGACAGACCAGCTGAGGATGGCCTGGTGGTGAGGGGTGGACCCCTGATCTCTGGAGAGACCTGGAAGGACACTTCCGGATGGGCTGCCCCCCTCTTGCCATCTGTGCCCCCAGACTGGGCACAGGGCACACTGTCAGCTTGTGCAGTCCGGCCAGGTCTGAGGCAGGGGCTGACAGGGCCCAGAGGCTCGCTAGGCCAGACCATCCTTCGGGATGGCGTTGGGCCTCGGAACAGGAGGCCAGTGACGGCCTGAACCACCAGGAAGGGGAGGAGGAGGCCTGGCCCGAGGCAGCCTCTTCCCTAGCCTCCACCGAGCTCAGCCCGTACTGTCCAGGAAGAGTCTGTGGCTGCTGGGGCTGCCTCAGTTTCCCTCCTTTCTTTCCTTCCCCTCCCCTCTCCCCTCCGCTCAGTGTCTGTGGGATAATGAGGCGATCCCGGGGGCGGGTGCTAATTACTGTTTGTGCAGGCCTGGGAGATGCTCAGATGAAAGGGACTGGAGCCGGGCGCCTGGGTCCGTGCCACCGCTCGGGGCCTCGGGCCATGCCAGGGAGCCCCGCGGCCCCGAGGTGTGGGGTTTTATAGCCTTAATGATAGTGATTAGCGAGGCTCTTCGTGGGCTCTGCCAACACCTAACTGTGCCCTGGACACCTTTCCACCGGGCCCTTCCTGGTGCAGCCCCTGCTCCTCCCTGGGTGGTGGTGGAGGTGGGGGACGGAGGTGCTCAGGGTGGTGGTGGGGGGATGGGGGAGAGCAGTAGGGGGCGCCAAGGGGGAGTGTGAGATTCCCCCTCAGTTCTCTGTGGGGACATCTCAGGGTCAGCTCAGTGACCCAACCCCTGGTGCGGTTTGCTTCCTTCAAAACGAAAGCCCCGCCCCCTATTCTAGAGACCCCCGGTCTCCTCTCCCTTCGGCTGCAGCTTGCCCACCAACTGTTCTCACTCTGGACCTCCTTTGGGCTGGGTGTCCCTTGGGTGGCAAAAGGGCAGGAGACCATAGAGGGACGGACCCCTTCACCTTTGGCCCCTTCCCGCTTTGCTATCATCACCCCATGCAGGTGAGATCTCTCTCCTTGGGCGTTTTCCACCTCCCTCACCCGAGTCCTGTCTGCTCAGGTGCATCCAGCAGCCTTCACATTCCATCCCTCAGCGCAGCTCAGCATGCTCTGCCCCTGCCTTGGCCCTCCCAGCTCAGCTCCCCGACCCCCTCAATATTGGGTCTTGCTTTATCCAGGGCTAGCGTGAGGCCCAGGTGTGGCCAGGGGCTGGGATGCCATGGGCAACAGGATGGAGGGACAGAGTGGGGAATGGAGGCTCCTCGATACCCATCTCTCCTAGGAAAGGAGCTGAGGCCTGAGGCCTAGCAGCCGCTCTCCTGAAATAGCTCTCTGGCCGCCCCAGCAAGATGGAGAGAAGGGGGCTGAGCCCAGGGAAGCCCGGCCGGCCAGGCCCAGCCCAGCTCCGAGCTCCCAGCCTCCCCCTCATTCCTTTCCAAGTCAGTCCAGCCAGCGGTTTGTTTAAATAAAACAATAGCAACCTAAGCTGGCTGTTTCTTTTCAATTCCCCACGGGCTTGGGTCCCACCCAGAGTCATAAACAGGCCTCTCTCTCCTCTGAGTGGAGCGGGAGAGCGGGGGTGGGGGCTGGGCCTGTAAGGTCAGGGAGTTAGTGTGCAGAGCAGGGTGGAAAGTCTGATCTGCAGCCCTGGTCAGGGTGGGAAGACTCTCCTCCCCTCCCTTTCCCTCTGGGGAGTCTTTTCTCATCAGCTGGGGCCAGCTCTTCAGACACACAAACCCTGGGACTTGTGTGAAGCCAGTGGCCTTTCCTGCCGCCTTCACTGGGCTTGCTGACCTAAGCTCGGCCGAGGCAGCTGCCAGGGGTGAGGGGGGAGGGTGGGAGGTGTATGTGTGGGGGCTGAGCAGAGAGCTTCAATCGCCTTCAGAGGCTTTTTGGGTCTTTCTGGAGCTTGGCCTATGGAAGGGGGAGCATGTGGTCAGTGTGGCTGGTATTTGCTCTCGTTGGTTTGAGCATCAGCTAAGCCCCCTTTTCCTCATTGTTCTGTTCTGGGGCTTAAAATATCCACCATAGTATCAACACTTTGGAGGAGCCCGAGGAAACCAAATTCAAAGGGTGAGAAAGTTGAGCCCCAAAGAGCTCAAACTCCTCCTCCAGAGCTGCGGGAGCAAATGGGAGAGTCCCAGAATGTTCTAGGAAGTAGGGGCCTTTGACCGTTTGACCTTTGAGACCCACTGGCTCAAGGTCTCATGCCTTTTGGCCTGCAGAGCTGTCCTGTGCTTTTGTTGTTGCTGTCTTTTAGTTTGCATCCTTGAGTATATGTGTGTGTGTATGTGTGTGTCTCTCTGTGTGTATGTGTGTGTCTCTCTCTCTCTCTCTGTGTCTGTGTGTGTGTCTGTGTGTGTCTCTGTGGGTATGCTTTTTCTATGCCATCATGACAATCCCATCACTTCTCTAAGAGTCTTTAAAAAAAACACAAAGCCATTATTAAAATACACAGATATTACCAGGAAGGCTGGGGTTATGGTGGAAGTGGTTGCCCCCGCATCTCTATGAAACACGAGCTCTCCTAAAGCATCTTCGTGGATCACAAGATCACATTTAGCCTGAGATCACCTTTGAGAGCTGGACCTCTCTGGGGAGGGAAGGAACGCGGGGGTGTTTCCAGAGGGCAGAGGGAGAAATCTATTCTTCAGAATGCTCCTCAGGGAGACAGGGCCGAGGGAAGTGCCCTGAGAGCTGAAGATGAGCCCAGCTTTTGAGGGACAGACCTCAGACCTGTTACGTCTGAGCAGAGAGGGGCTTTGGAACGAGAGCCTGCAGGAGGGGAGGGGCTGCTGAGAGCCCATCTTGCTGCCTGACCTGGACCCCGACCCCCACCCCAACCCCCAGGTATGCTGCTGCTCTTTAAGGTGGGCTCAGGGCAGACAAATCCTCTTAAAACAACTGACATTTTTCAAAAGCAACTTGTCTAAATGGTAACGTTGAAAAAAGGAAATAATTACAGAATTTGTAGAAATAGCTTTCTTTTAAAACGTATTTTTATTTATTTCAGAAAGGAAGAGAGAGAAACATCAATGACGAGAGAATCTTTGATCGGCTGCTTCCCCGCACCTACTGGGGATAGAACCCATAACCCAGGCATGTGCCCTGACCAGGAATTGGGACTGGAACAGTGACCTCTCGGTTCATAGGTGGACACTCAACCACTGAGCCACCCTGGCCTGGGGAAATAGTCAGCTCTCTGATCCTCAAGAGCACTGACTGCCCAGGATGGTTTTGCAGGCTCTCAGGACAGGCGCACTCCAGGTGTTTGGGCTCGGGAGTTGTCCTGGGCCCTCCTTAGGTGCCAGGGATGGAGAAGGCAACCCCTTTCCTTATCATGAGATTTTCTCTCCTGCTCTCTGATGCCTCAGAGCCCACTGCTGCTCCGTCAAGATGGCTGGGAACTGGCACGTGAGATGCTTAAGAAAGTTGGGGCTCAACCGATAGACATAGCAACTCCATCCTTGGACCAAGGTGATGCAGGCAGTCTTGCTCTGACTGACTTGTCTCAGGCCCAGTGAAGAGCACAGCGAAGGAGGCTGGGCACCTGCCCCACCACTATTACCTTACATTGGTAACGAGCGTTCAGTGTTTATCCTGAAAGCCACTGTCCAACCGCTGGCTCTCCCATGGGAAGGGCAGAGATCGGCCTCCCCATTCGACTGAAAGAAGCCAGAGAAGCTTCTCGAGGTCAGGGGCTGCACTCTGCCCATCTTTGTAGCCTGTAGGATGCTGTGCATGTAATCTGGATAGTAGGCAATAGTTGATGCCCTGGACCGTCCCCTGACCCTTGCCCTGGCAGCGCTTACCAGCTCCTCTTCCAACCTGCTTATCCTGGCCAGCCCGGGCCCCAGAGTTCCCTGAGAGGATTGGTCCCTGATATATTAAGCACTTGGAGAGCTACCAATAGATAAGCCAACGAGATAGAAGTCACTTCTATTTGTTGTTTCTTGTCCCTACAGGGCTAGCCAGACAGCTCCATTTTCTGAGAATTGAGTGTCCAGAGACGCCCCTCCCTCCCCAGGCCCGGGGCTGCTTTAGGTAAGGGCTCTTTGAGACACGGTGGCCGGATTTGTGCAGCCTGGTGGATGGGGAAGGGCCTGGATCAGCGGGAAGGTCGGCCCCGTTTCCTCATTTCGCTTCAATTACCTGCAAGCAGCTGGCCGCCCACCTGGGTGTTGGTGAAGGCCCCGGGTACTTGGGCTTGCTGACCCCCGAAGCGAAGGGTCAGCTGCACATTTCCCTGAGTTTGAGGGAGACGATTTAATCTCTTTATCCACCTCTTCTTCCCATCTGGACGGGAGGATTCAATCACTCTGGCCTGCCCGCAAACCCGCCAGAGTGGGCAGTTCCACTTTTTGATCTCTGGGTGTGTGTGTGTGTGGGGGTCATCAGAAGAGTCCTGAACTTGATAGGTGAGGTACGGAGAGAAGTCACGGAGATAAGGGAGAGTGGAGGGAGAAATGAGCAACACAGAGCACTTGGCGGTGGGGGTGGGGGGATGAAAAAAAAAGGGAAAAATAGAAACAAGAGTTCCAGGCTCTGTGACACTGGCACCGAATGAGAAAGCTCCTTGCTGTTTTTGCACAGCTGCCTGCAAGCTGCCAAGTGGCAAAGGAGCCAGCAAAAGGCACAGGATTGGAAAGTGCTACCCAGCAGTCTGTGTGTTCTGCAATTAACAAGGGCTAAGTGAGTGGAAGGCACTGACAGCTCTCCGGCTCAG